CAATGAATTAATGGGCAAAATGACCTGACTTATGACATCTGCAATTATGTAAATAATGTATTACTTGAATGTGAAATGGAAAAGTACACTTTTTCATGTAATAAAAAAGTCTTCAATATGTCTCTTTTTGTAATATGTTTTTGTACTGACATATTGAGGGGGGCAAACAGAGGAATGATAGCTAAAGGAGAAAGCAATAGGGGAAGAGAGAGGAAAGCAACAGCAAGCCACTATTTCAATGTGGTAATCATTGGCATGACTTCAACTTCCATTATTCTTCCCAAATCCCTTCTGCGTCACCTCTTATACATGTTATTTATTATCCACTTAAAGAATTATCAAGGATTATTGGTTTAAACTTACTATAAAGATGAACTCATGTTAATGTTTATGGGTAGATCTAGCTGAACATCTTAGGGTTAACATATAGCATAAGATGTACATGTTCCTGAAATCAACTAAAGGAATGTAAAGACAAGTACTTAGATGTATACTGAATCTCTTACTAGTTTATATCAAAATAACTGAGAATTTTGACCTTTACATTTTGATTCAGTGAGGAAATACATTCATTCCCACTATTTATTTTACTGGATGACAAGATAAATAGCCCAATTCAACTGTCCATATCCATGGATGGTATATTTTCAGGCCACTGATTCCACTGAGACTATAACAAAGGCTCTGCACCCACTTCCAGAAAAATGCATGCACTCATGTGCACACACACGCACAGGATGCTCATGAGCATATTAAAGGTGGATCCCAATGTAAGAGTTCCTATTGCTTGCAAAAGATATGGAATACTTTTCACTCCTCATGTTTTCATGCCAAGTGATATCTACTAGAGGAACATTACTGGCCACTTGACTCATTCACTCCCTTATTAAAAGAGTTTGCTTCTTGTTTAGTGACATCTATTGAAACACATTTCTTGCTGGAGGTAATTTAGTAAAACTCTGCAGAAGATATGCACTTAATTTGCTGCCCTCATTTCCATAGACTCTGGGAGGCAGCATGTGTCTTATCTACAAACAGATTTTTTTTTATCTCAGGTGTATTATGTAACTGAATAACATAAGAAGGGTAAGGGGTCAGGATGTTGGCATGGGCAGGTTATAACAGAAAGCTAGTTTGGCCAGAGATCAAAGCCTTTTGTTTTAAGCAGCTTTATCATTAATGAAGTTCAATAGCTGCAAACTTGAAAAGTATACATAGATACATCATTTATTAACCCCCTTAATACCTTAATACTTGCCATATATAGTTACATGTACAAAGCAGAGTAAAAGGAAAAAAAAGAAGCAAATTATAACTAACTATGATTTTTGGTGAGAAAATTTTTTCAAAATTTGTGAAACTATTTTGTTCAAACTCAAGCCAGCATATTCTACTGTATCTAGGAATTACAAAAAAAAAAAAAACTAATTCATCTTCTATCAATGGTTCCCATAATATCAAACAATTTTTAAAAGCAAGAAGGTACTTTAAAATTTATCTAAGTACAATATGTTTTACAGATAAGCGAAATAAAAATATAAATAAATAATGTTAAATTATATGGACAGATCAATGCTAGTCCTAGAACTGAGGTCTAAAGCACTTTAGTTGTGTTGTTTATATCACCTCTAAAAACTTATTTCACTCCACGAGAACAAATTATGTGGAGGAGAAACTCAAGTTTTGTATTACTGACTTAGTGTGGCCTGCTGTAACAAAATGCAATAGACTGAGGAGCTTAAATATCAGACGTTTATTTCTTACAGTTCTGGATGCTGAAAAGTTCAAGACCATATTTGGTTCTTGGTGAATCCCCTCCTCCTGGCTTCTAGACAACTGTCTTCTTTGATGTTCTCTTTTCATAGGGCACTAGTCGTCTTATAGGGACTCCACCCACTTGACCTCATATAACATAATTACCTGCCAAAGCCTCATCTCCAAGTACCATTCCACCTGGAATTACAGCTTCAATATATGAATTTGGGGACAATGCAAACATTCAATTTATAGCAAATACTAATTCAGTTATATGTGTGTATATGTATGTGTGTGCATCTGTGTGTGTATCTGTAGACAAATACTCTTTTCCATTGTCTTATTGTTGATGTGTTGTGACCAAGATTCTTATAAACATTAAAGAACAATTAAATAAAATTACTATGTATATAGTCTTGGCACATAAAAGAAAAAAATCCTAAATATCTATCCTCTGACCTATCTCTGAGTTTTCTTCCCTGTTTTCCTTTTATACTCTCCTTTAGGACTGACCATTTAAACAGAAATTTTCAGTCTGCCTTCTGGCTATCACACTTAAATCGTTCAATAAAATGAGTCATGTACTACCACTGCATTGGAATCATATTCTAAAAGTGCTTTTGTTGTTTCTATTTTATTAGTCCTCCTGAAGCAGCACAATGAAAAAGCTGGTTTACTTTCCCCCATATCCTCTGAAATACTGGTTACTTTAACAGTTGTTAAATCTTTCAAACCAGATAGACATTAAATTTTCTGCAAAACTAGAATTTCTGGTATTTATATTTCAAAAGACATTCAGGACTCCTTTTCTGTTTATAAATATACATTATTATATTTGTTGTTCTTCATTTAAATTCTTTTTTTTTTCTTTTCTTTTTTTGGTCAGGAAGACTGTGGGATTCCCTAGGTATACTGAAGGATATTTCTCTAAGTATTGCTAATGTATTTCCACTGAAAATTGATTATGTAGTATTAATTCACATAGATGCAAAATGAAACAGAAAGTGATGTAATTAGTGCAAAGTTTTGACCAAAATAACTCATTCATTCACTTGTCAATCACTCAGTCAATTCACTCAGTCAATCAAACTGCAATGGTCATCAAAGTGCTCATTGAGTTGATCAAACTTCTTAGTCTCTGGGTACCCATTAATTCCAGACTCATGGCCAGGCATGGTGGCTCACACCTATAATCCCAGCATTTTGGGAGTCTGAGGCTGGTGGATCACCTGAGGTTGGGAGTTTGAGACCAGCCTGGCCAACATGGAGAAACCGTGTCTCTACTAAAAATACAAAATTAGCCGGGCATGGTGGCGCATGCCTGTAATCCCAGCTACTCGGGAGGATGAGGCAGGAAAATCACTTGAACCTGGGAGGCAGAGATTGTAGTGCGCCAAGACTGCACCATTGCACTCTAGCCTGTGCAACAAGAGCTAAGCAAAGCTCCGTAAAAAAAAAAAAAAAAAATCCAGACTCATTTCCACCTTTCACTTAAATTGAATATATCAGTTAGTTCCTTTGTGAGACATTGAATAAATGACTTCCTACATGTCGGGAAATTGACCAAATCAATTTGACTGCATTCAGTTTGGATGCCTTTTCAGAATTAGTCAAAAATATTTAATTAGGATGTTTGAGAGATACTTCTTTCTACATGGAATAGTCTTTTCACAAAAATTTTTATAGCTTCTTGTGCAATTTTCAGTAACACAATTTGTTTAACACAAATAGGCCTACATTAAAAAATGTGCTTATAAAATGTGTGTGATTTTTGTGTGATAATTGGAAATACATAGCAAGTAAATAACATACAAAATGTCATTTATCTTGTCCCTGAGAAAGAACTAGGTAAGATCATTACTTCTACTTCATCCTGTTTTTTCCTGAATTCTGCCGCTGTCGACTTGAGTAGTCAAGAAGTTGGGTGTCAGCTGCAAGGCAGAATGGTAATTAGTTTAGGTCATGTTTAAGTAGGAGATACTCTAGAATGCTTTTGCTTTTCTCTTTCAAATTTCTATAAAGACTTCTAATATCAATAAAGTTTTGAAATGAGAATGAGAACTATTAATTTTTGTTTTTATTTTTGTTTTTTGAGACGAAGTCTCGCTCTGCCGCCAGACTGGAGTGCAGTGGCGTGATCTGGGCTCACTGCAATCTCCACCTCCCGGGCTCAAGCCATTCTCTTGTGTCAGCCTCCCGAGAAACTGGGACTACAGTGGTGTGCCACCACACCCAGCTAATTTTTGTATTGTTAGTAGAGATGGGATTTCACCATGTTGGGCAGGATGGTCTCGATCTCTTGACCTTGTGATCCACCCACCTCGGCCTCCCAAAGTGCTGGGATTACAGACGTGAGCCACCGCGCCCAGCCTATGAAATCGTTTTAAAAGGACAGAGATTGAATGTAAACATAAGCTTTTCCTATTTAAAATAGAGTCTTTCAAAATTTCTGTTCTTTTTCCGTACTAAATTTTGTGATTTTAGGTATATCACCTTACGAATTGCTCGGTTCTTTCTATCTGATTCCATGAATTCAGATAGTGAATTTGTTCTTATAAGCAATTACACACTGTGATCCATTGCTGTTAGCTTGATGTTTACTACAAGTCATTCAGAAAGAGCTGAAGATTAAAAATATTTACCTTAAAATCTAAAAATATATTTACATTTAACATAATCAAGATGGAAATTTCTGGAGAGTGAAACTAAATAATAAATTTTCTTTAACTTTTTTTATCCTACTACTGATGTTACACTAAGAAAAGATCATCACATGACTTTGTAGGCTTCCTAAAAGTGATAAGCTGTTTTACAAATGAGAAAGCTTTCTTGTTGAAACTCGAACTTGAATGGTATGTATTTAAAAAAAAAAAAAAAAAAAAGGCACTTCCCATGACAAGGATCTCAATCTGGGCTATTTTACATCCAAAGAATGAATATATAATACGAACATCGAAAAAATGGCATGTTAAGTTTGTAGTTCTTTTCAGCATTCTCTTGCTATTCTGCTTTTTCCTTATGTTTTCTTTCCCTCTTTCGATGTTTATTTACTTTTAGTATGTGACCTTTCCCAATACATTCACTTTGTCTTGCAGGTTCAAAACAGATTTTTCAGATGCTAATTTTGAATTAACAAATCTTCCTTTATGTTATTACTTACCTTAACTGAGGATAACAGCATAAATTTATTATTTAAACTAGCTTTTAAAGTTACATAAACTTTAATCTAACTTTTATATTTCCAGGTTAATACTAGAATTTATTATTCAAATGGAGGCTGCATGTGTGACAGGAATCCCCATATATGATTTCTTCTTTGAGGTAAGATGACCAGCAGGTGAGTTGTATAAACTGTCATAAATAATATGTGCTTATACCTTGCTTTTAGAACAAGTTTCACCATTTTCTCATATTGATACAGGAGATATAAAAAATAAATATTTAGGAAGATAATGAGGTTAAAAAAGTCCTCTGCAAGTCTTCCTTTCTAACAAAAAGCAGCCCAAGAAATTATTTTTTTTCTAACAGAGAGCAGCCTAAAAAATCGAGCTGCCAACAGATAAGCAAGCTGGAAGCTTGCACAGGTGAATGCCGGCAGCTGTACCAATAGAAGAAGGCTACCTGGGGACCATGTATGTTCAACATAGAGGCTCCATCTTCCCTTTTCTTTGTCACCACATGTACAGTAAAGAAACAGGCAACATGGTGCAAGCCGGGCAGAGAACCCATCTGCAGAATAAAAGATTAGGGTGAGGGTGGCCAGAATTTTGTGCTCTATGCAAATGGCATACCTAGCCCTAACAAGTATTTTGCACCTTATGCAAATAACACACCTGATCCAACCAATCTTTTGCATCCTGTGTACACCAGACACTGCCTCCTCAAGCTCATCTATAAAATCCCCTTCATTTCACCACGGAAGCAGAAAACCCATCTGGGACCCTCTCTCTGCAGCAGAGAGAGCTAGTCCCTTTCCATCAGGTATTAAACTTCCACTCTTAATCTTACTCCTGGTGTGTTTGCATCCTAGTTGTCCATGCTGGCTGTGAGACAACGAACCTCAGGTACTATCACAGACAATGAGGCCATTTAAAAAAAGAAGTCTATTCCTAGACTTCTCCTCAAGTCTCTTGATCACAGTTGGATGATACGCCATTCTTTAAACAGTCGCTGGCTAAAGGAATACTATAGTGAGCAATAACTATTCAGCATTCTCTTCTGGTAATTTAGAAGAAGTCCAACACAAGGCTGCCCAATATCTGTAAAAAAGATTCTATATGCAAAGAATATGAGGAAAATGGCATTGGGATAGGCAACAAATGAACAATTTCTGCCACAGACTTTAAGCTCCATGAAGGTAATCTCATACATTTCTTATTGAGTGCAGTATGTGAAAGGCTTAACACAGAGCCTGGAATACAGTTGGTGCTCATCAGATTTGTGAAATTTGTGTATAATGCAAATACTAATATTTATGAGAATACTAATTTATAGTCCTTGAAAGGCAGAATAGAAGTCATATAACCACAATTTCAAAGAGACTATAAGAAATGTGAAAGAAAAATAAATCTTGGAACTCCCAAATCACTAAGCCAAAGGGAAAAGCCAAGCTGGACACTGCTTAGGGCAAAGTTGCCTCCTCTTCTATTCCTAAAGATGATAGCTACACAAATTAAAATGCTATGTACCTCCCTCACAAGGAGTTTCCTTGTGGACAAAGGACAGACAGAACCCAAAGTCATCCTTCTGTTCATTGAGATAAATGTGTATTTGATTGCCTTCTTAAAAAAGGCTAATGTGCAACTCAAAAGAATGCAATCATTTTTCTTTTCTCTACCTATGACCTGGAAGCCCCATCCCCGCTTCGAGTTCTCCCACCTTTCCAAAAAGAACCAATGTACATCTTACATATATTGACGTACCCTGCACATCTTGGGGACCTCCTGAGGCTGTGTCTCAGGTGCATGTCCTTAACTTTAGCAAAATACATTTCCAAAATTGACTGAGGCCTGTCTCACATATTTGGGGTTCACGGAGTAAACACAAAGTTAGCCAGGCACCCTGGCTCACAGCTGTAATCCGAGCACTTTGGGTGATGGAGGCGGCTGATCACCTCAGCCCGGAAGTTCTGGACCAACCTGGACAACATGGAGAATCCATGCCTCTACTAAATATATTAAAATTACAGGGAGGTAGTGTGCCTGTGATCCCAGCTCTACTACTGAGTGGCTGAGGAAGGCGAATCCCTCGAACCTACGAGGTTGAGACTGCAACGAGCTGAGATCAAGATCGCGCCACTGCACTCCAGTCTAGGTGGCAGACTGAGGCCCTGTCTAAAACAACAACAACAGCAACAACAACAACAAAAAAAAAATGGGAATAAACACAAAGGGTATGCAAGAGCTAGATATTCAGGAACTTTATTTTGAGGTCACCCATGTGTTCAAAGTTGCTGAATCTAATGATTAGTTTACAGTCATGTTACTTGAATCATGAATAGTGTATGATACTTTAGATCATTTCCTTCTCCTTACACACTTTCTCCTTTTGACTTTCAGGGTATTACACTCTCTTGTTTGCTTTCTCTCTCATTGGCGATTTATTTTCAAACTACTTTACTTGTTCTCTCTTTCACTTCTTAATATTGGAGTGCTCTCAAGACAAGGATGCACTCTCTCACTACTCCTATTCAACATAGTATTGGAATTTCTGGCCACGGCAATCAGGCAAGAGAAAGCAGTAAAGGATATTCAAATAGGAAGAGAGGAAGTCAAATTGTCTCTGTTTACAGATGACATGATTGTATATTTAGAAAACCCCATTGTTTCAGCCCCAAATCTCCTTAAGCTGATAAGCAACTTCAGTAAAGTCTCAGGATACAAAATCAATGTGCAAAAATCAAACATTACTATACACCAATAATAGACAAACAGAGAGCCAAATCATGAGTGAACTCCCATTCACAATTGCTACAAGGAGAATAAAATACCTAGGAATACAACGTACAAGGGGTGTGAAGGACCTCTTCAAGGAGAACTAGAAACTACTGCTCAAGGAAATAAGAGAGGACTCAAACAAATGGAAAAACATTCCATGCTCATGGATAGGAAGAATCGATATTATGAAAATGGCCATTTTTCCCAAAGCAATTTATAGATTCAATGCTATCCCCATCAAGCCACCACTGACTTTCTTTACAGAATTGGAGAAAACCTACTTTAAACTTGATATGGGACCAAAAAAGAGCCCACATAGCCAAGACAATCCTGGGCCAGAAGAACAAAGCTGGAAGCATCACGCTACCTGACTTCAAACTATAGTACAAGACTACAGTAACCAAAACAGCACGGTACTGGTACCAAAACAGAGATATAGACCAATGGAACAGAACGGAGGCCTCAGAAATAACACCACACAGCTACAAACATCTGATCTTTGACAAACCTGACACACACAAGCAATGGGGAAAAGATTTCCTATTTAATAAATGGTGTTGGGAAAACTGGCTAGTCATATGCAGAAAACTGAAACTGGACCCCTTCCTCACACTTTATACAAAAATCAACTCAAGATGGATCAAAAACTTAAATGTAAGACATAGGACCATAAAAATCTTAGAAGAAAACCTGAGCAATATCATTCGGGACACAGACATGGGCAAAGACTTCATGTCTAAAGCACCAAAAGCAATGGCAACAAAAGCTAAAATTGGAAATGGGATCTAACTAAACTAAAGAGCTTCTGCACAGCAAAAGAAACTATCATCAGAGTGAACAGGCAACCTACAGAATGGGAGAAAATTTTTGCAATCTATCCATCTGACAAAAGGCTAACACTCTCTTAAGATGGCATCCAGAATCTACAAATAACTTAAAGAAATTTACAAGAAAAAAAACAAACAACCCCATCAAAAACTGGGAAAAGATATGAACAGGCATTTCTCAAAAGAAGACATTTATTCAGCCAACAGACATATGAAAATATGCTCATCAATGGTAATTAGAGAAATGCAAATCAAAACCACAATGAGATACCATCTCATGCCAGTTAGAATGGTGATCATTAAAAAGTCAGGAAACAACAGGTGCTTGAGAGGTTGTGGAGAAATAGCAACACTTTTACATTGTTGGTAGGAGTATAAATTAGTTCAACCATTGTGGAAGACAATGTGGTGATTCCTCAAGGATCTAGAACTAGAAATATCATTTGATCCAGCAATCCCATTACTGGGCATATACCCAAAGGATTATAAATCATTCTATGATAAAGACACATGCACACGTATGTTTATTGCCACATCCTTTTTGTAGCCACAAAAAAGGATGAGTTCATGTCCTTTGCAGGGACATTTATGAAGCTGGAAACCATCATTCTCAGCAAGCTATCATTAAGATCAGAAAACCAAGCACCGCATCTCACTTATAAGTGGGAGTTGAACAATGAGAACATATGAACACAGGGAAGGGAACATCAAACACCGTGATCTGTCGGGGTGTGGGGTGCTAGGGGACGGATAATGTTAGGAGAAATACCTAATGTAGGTAATGGGTTGATGGATGCAGCAAACCACCAGGGCACATGTATACCTATGTAACAAAACTGCACGTTCCACACATGTAACCCAGAACTTAAAGTATGATGATGATGATAATAATAATAATAATAATAAAAATATTGTAGTGCTCCAGGCCTAATCCTTGTTCCTCTTGTCTTCTCTATTTACAACCATTCCTTTGGTAATCTTTACTGTCTCTTGTCTTTATATGTTAACCAGATATACCAAAAAAATTGCTAATATGTATCTAAAATTTTTCTTCCTGATTATTATTTTATTTTATATTTTTACCTTTTACAGACCAAGGAAGAAACAAAACAAGAAAATGAAATAAAGTTGCTGCTGTGATTGCAGAATTACTTAGAGTAACCTCTGAAGAAACGTGCCCATTGGGAGAAACGACACAATTCAATTCAACAAATATCTTTGTAGTGCCTGTGATGTGAATAACAGAGTGCTAAAAAGTCTAATGAGAATCAGTCCTGCTTTCAAGATGCTGATGACAGTGCACAGAGAATGTCAGTATACAAATAATTCTAACTGTAAAAGAAGAGAGAATAATCCCTAGCTCCTTTTCCTTAGCCAAAAACTTATTCCCTACTTCTCTCCTAAGAAAAAGCAAAACAAAACAAAAACAAACCACTTGAGCATTTTTCCCCTCAGAAGTGCTTCCTTTCACACTTTCATATTCCAAATCCTCGAAGGACTTCCTTATACTTACTCTACTCACTTCTTAAACTTTTATTACCTCATTTGTACTAAAGTTACTATCTTAAGGTTGAGTGAGTACTGACTGCCATAGGCTAAATCTTCTCTTTCTCTCCAGTCCTCATCTTCCTCACTCTCCCTGCTATACTGAATGCTGTGAACCACACTTCCTTCTTTAAACTCTGTTATATTGTTCTTTGTTCTCTCTTTGTTCACTTCTCATCTCTTAACCATAGTAGGGCAGAATCTTGGCTTAGCATAAGTTTATGTGAAAGGGTTTATTTTGACACAAAGCACATTAAGAATTAGCAATATAAAATACTCATTGAAAAACAATGAAAGCTTATATTGCACAAATACAAGTACCAAAAATGGGAAGTAATAGTTTCTTCGTGATCTAAAGTCACATTCTACAAAAAGCAAGGCATTAGGTTGAGTTACAAGTTCCATGTTATAAAGATATTAGGCAGTTAAAATATAACCCCAGGAAGCTAACTAAGAGAGACATTGAAAGGATTTGTAAAGCTCTTGCTTCACACAATGAATGGTTGAGGATACAGGATATGTTTAGCCTGAGTGAGAGGCACAAAAGAGAACATAATTATTGACTTAGCATTTGACAGACATTATATGGGTGTTAGGGTTAGGACATATGGGAAGAAATTTCAAGATAGATCTTAAACAATTCCTAACAATTTAAGATACCTAATATTGGAAAGGATTGTTTTGTGAAGCAATTCAGGCAAAAGCTAAATAGCAATATATCTAAAATGTTCTGAAAGTAATTATTGCTTTGGATGGGGGCTGAGACTAGATTAAAATTCTCTTCCAATGTGGGAATGTTATGATTAATGAAATCATTCAAAATATATCATTAGTTTAAGCTTTTAATTTATGACCTGGACATCTTTCAATGTATGTTTCCATACCAGTATCCTAGATTTGTGGAGGAGGTGAAGAAAGCTAGTTGTGCTATGAATGATTAATGAGTTCTAAGTCTGATGGGAAGTTTTGCCTAAGACATGTTAGCATTCAGAGTGAAAAGTATAAGATTCACACTTATTGTGGAGAAAATTTAGCAAAAGAGAAAGTATTACAATAATGAAAACATTTTTCTGTGTATTTTTTGTTTAAAAAACATTTTCATAAAATTTATAATTACAGTATTTTATTTAGATTTTCAGTGGTGAAAGATGAAAGACATAAATTTGAAGACTCTACTAGAAGCAAACAATTGCATTGCTATAACCTTGGCATGGCACTCCCTTTCAAAATACAGTACAAGGGGAAAAAATAAAACAACCCTGTTTTACTGACTTTGGAATAAAGACATTTTCAGTATCTTGAAATGTTCAGCATATATGTACATGCATATGTATATGTCAGAAAGTATAACACATATACATGTGCACACATATATGTTTTCACATGTAAATTTTACATGTTTTCATATGTAAATTCAAAGATGTGAATATATGTTTTATATACTTATATTTATATATATAATTTATTTTCCAATATAAGAGTAAACTCCAACTGGCAGGTAACTTCTTTTAACCTGTTTTTATATTCAGGCCCTCTTGCCTGATATAATCCTGAGTTTAAAGTCACTTTTAAATAATAACTTACTGAGTTTAATTGATTTTACTTTGAAGTGTCTCATAGCATAAAGAATACTATGCATGAATTTTACTTTTAGGGTAATTCTAAATGTATGTTTCATGCAATGAGGAGGAAACTTGGAGCATTAAGGACAGAGACTACACTCAATGCTTTCAATTCATCATGTCTTATTAAATCAGCATGCAATTCATGAACAAATAGATCATCATGTAATAAATGTCAGCTACTAATAAAAAAGTGAATAACAACAATATAGAGAAAACTAATTTCATAGTACCAAGTATTCCCACAAAAGAGCATTCTTGTCTTCAAGGTAACAAATGGTTGTCATTAGGTTCGTGTGGGTGTCTATTAAGTGTTGTTACTATCAAATGATGTATTTTAGGAATGGCAGGTTATCTTCCATGTACAGATCCTCTTGCTTATATTACAATACTGCTCAACTTAAAAATGATAAATTGTCAACATTGTGCAAGCCCTTCAAGGTCATGGTTCAATTTTAACACTCATTAAGTCTTGTTTATTTTTGCCCACATATGTCAATGTTCACTATCAAGCTGTAGATGAATAAGAACAATTGATGTTTGGTGTTAGACATACCTCATTAACTTCAGAGTTGGGATGAGTAATTTTAAGTAAAATAAAGTGAAGCCAGTGAAACCAGAGGTAAGATTCTAACTACAATCAGATAGTAGAATTTTCTCAGCCCTTCCAGACTCAAGTTATCTTCCCCTCCTGCCACAGGGGCTAGAGGTAAATTGCTAGCTCCTTGAAGTCAAAAGTAGGGTAATTTGGATCTTTATATTTGACCCAGCACCTAATATACAATTTAGTGCAGATCATAGCATGATGGAATCGCAAATCTGATTTCCAAAGTTTAGTTGGAATATATTTTGTGTTTTTCCAGATATTAAAGTATTTCTCCCTTGTTTTAGTCCATATCCACAACATGTAGAAAAATATACAAAATTTGCACAGTAAAAATGAGGAGAGATATATTCTCTTTGTAGTGCAGTGCCCCATAAATATTCTGTGGTCTCAGTAAAATCCATAATAAGGTCATGAGTTCTATCGCATGAAAAAGAATTTTGAAAATATTTTGTTCTAGCACTCTCATTTTCCTTTTCTTTGAACTTCTATTTAGGTTCAGTGGCAAATGTGTAGGTTTCTTATATAGATAAATTGTGTGTCATGAGGGTTTGTTGTACAGTTTATTTCAGCACCCAGGTAATAAGCATAATCCTCAATAAGTGTTCTTGCTAATCCTCTCCTTCTTATTCTTCACCCTCAAGTAGGCCCCTGCGTTTGCTGTTCCCCTTTTTGTGTCCATGTATTCTTGTTGTTTAGTTTCCACTTCAAAGGGAGAACACATGTTGTTTTTCTGTTCCTGTGTTGGTTTCCCTAAGACAATGGCCTCCAGCTCCATCCATGTTACTGCAGAGAACATGACCTCATTCTTTTTTATGCCTGTAGAGTATTCCATGGTGTATATGTACCACATTTTCTTTTTTTTTTTTTTTTTTTGAGACGGAGTCTCGCTCTGTCGCCCAGACTGGAGTGCAGTGGCGCAATCTCGGCTCACTGCAAGCTCCGCCTCCCGGGTTCACGCCATTCTCCTGCCTCAGCCTCCCGAGTAGCTGGGACTACAGGCACCCGCAACTGCGCCCGCTAATTTTTTTCTATTTTTAGTAGAGACGGGGTTTCACCATGGTCTTGATCTCTTGACCTTGTGATCCGCCTGCCTCGGCCTCCCAAAGTGCTGGGATTACAGGCGTGAGCCACCGCGCCCGGCCCCACATTTTCTTTATCCAGTCTACCATTGATAAGCATTTAGGTTGCTTCCATGTTTTTTCTGTTGTGAACATATGTGTGCATGTGTCTTTGTGGTAGAACAATTTATATTCCTTAGGGTATATTGTTCTAGCATAAATTGTTATAATACACCCAATTAGATATTACACTCAATATATCAGGGGGTGTTCACTTCCCCTGTAATATTGTTCCTAATATCAAGAAAGAGAGAGGATAATATCGTTCTTAATACGGCAGGAGGTGTACACCCACCCTGTGATATCATTACTAATATCCAGAAGGGGAATAAATTATACCACTCCCAATATCATGGTGGGTGTAAATCTCCCCTGTGATATTGTTTCTAATATTTAGGAGGAAAGAGGATGATGCTACTTCCAGTGTCGCAGGGAGTGTACTCTCCCACTGTGATAATGTTCCTAATATCCAGAAGAGAAGAGGATGATATTACTCCTAATATCACAGAGGGTGTAAACCCTTTCTGTGATATATTGCTTTTAATATTCAGAAGGGGAGAGGATATTACTTCCAATATTGCAGGGGGTATATACCCCCCCTGTGGTATTGTTTTTAATGTCCAGGAGAAAAGAGGATGATACTGCTTTCAATATCGCAGGGAGTGTAAACCCACCATGCAATATTGTTTTAATATCCAGGGGGGAGAGAATGACATTACTCCCATCATTTCAGAAACTGTACACACCCCCTGTGATATTGTTCATAATTTCCAAAGAAAGATATTACTCCCAATATCGCAAGGGGTGTACACCCGCTTTTGATATTGTTTCTAATATCAAGGGAGAAAAGGATGATATTACTTCCAATTTCGCAGGGGGTATACACCACCCGTGGGATATTGCATTAAATATCCAGGGGGAGAGAAAATGATATTACTCCCAATATGACAGGAGGTGTACAGGCTTCCTGTAATATTGTTCCTAATTTTCAGGGGGAGAGAGGATGGTGTTACTCCAATATTGCAACGGATGTACAACCTTCTTGTGATATTGTTTCTAATATCCAGGAGGGAACAGAATGATATTACCACAAATATCATAGGGGGTGTAAGTCTCGCTCCATGATATTGTTTCTAATATCCACGGAAAAAGATAATGATATTACTCCCAATACCATGGGTGGACACTCCCCGTGTGATATTGTTCCTAATATCTGGAGGAAGAGAGGATGATATTACTCCCTATATTGCAGGGAGTGTACACCCGCCCTGTGATACTGTTCCTAATATTCAGG